TTCCCCCTCTAGGGTAATTCCTACAGGCAAGGTTTATCTCTCTCTTGTGTTAATAAGTTATTATTGTTATTGTATTTTCCACAAACTGCCTTAGAGAAAGGTATAGTTTCTTAAAGAGAAAAGAAGCTATACTTGCCTCTTGGACACCGCATATACCTACAAAAGGATTTCTTGTGCCGTGTCGTCGTTATAGAGTAAATTAAGAAGGCATTACTCTGTAACAATATATAACAAAAAATTTTAAGATTTTTTTTATTTTTTAAAAAGTTAATTTTAATCTAAAAAAAATTAACAAAAATTTATTTATTTTTTAAAAAATAATAATTTGCAAAAAACTCTTTCTAACAATTATTTGTATTAAAATTTCCAATTAAAAAAAATTAAAAAATTTGTTAAAAAAAGCAAAAGTAAATACTAATTTAAGTAATTTTTGTAAAGATTAACTACTGCTTTAAAGACTCCTTTATACAGTATATTCAACATACAAACTAAAAGTATTATAACTAACAAGTAGTGCTCTTGTATAAAAAATTTGATAAAGATTAGTATTCTTCTGTTAATAAAACTTACTAAACAGAATAAATAATACAAGAGAACAATAAATAAATTTTTATATTTTAATATATTTTTTACTAGTTATACAAATAGTTTTTTGCTTCCTTGTTATTTTTATTTCCTTTTATTATTTTTGCTATTTTTAAAAAAATTTAACAAAGTAAAAATATAGTTTACCCTTTTCAAAAGATTAATATTGTTTATATTTTAAATTTGAACAATCTAGTAAATTGCAACTACAGTATATATTTTGTTAGTAAACAAATACAATACTACTATGCAGAATTGGGTTCTGGTTAAAGAACTATTAATAGTGGCAGCAGGTGGCTTAAAATACAAGTCTTTAAATAGTAGCAGCACCTGGCTTAAGATACAGATTAGAAAAGTTCAAATAAAGATATTTGAAATTGGTTATAGAGTTAAAGAAAATTTTAATATATTAAAACAAAGCTTTATAATAGAAATATACAAATATTATATCTATTATAATTTTTAATAGCTATGTATGGATTATATAATAGTGTTATTAGAATTTTATATTTTTTTTTTTTAGTTTTTTTTTTCAAAATCAGTATTTTCTTTTTTTTTTCTGTTTTTTCTTTTTTTGGCTATCTTTGCAAATTTTATTTTTGAAATTTTTTTTCTTTGTCTTGTACTTTTTAAAAAGAAAAAAGAATTTTAAAAAAAAAATTCCTAATACAATACAACAGCCTGTCAATAACTAAGAAAATATTCTTTGTATAATACCAAATTTCTAGTAAGTTAGAAACCTCAAGAGAAACTAATAATTGTTATAGCAGATCATATTGGGCATTTTACTTGATGAGTTTTTATTAGATTAAAACACTCACACTATAAAATATAATACAATTCTGTTGTATAAACATTATATAGTAGTTTACATGAAATTGCTTAAAAAAAAAAAAAAGATCCGCAAAATTAGCCAATCATATTAAAATGTGATATATAAGAATATTGCACCATATGAAGCATATTAAACCAATTTTTTAATTTAATTTGTTAAGTTATGCTAATTTATACTATATATATATATTATTACTATAAAAAAAAAAAACACTAGATTTTAGCTTAATATTATATATTTTTTAAAAAAAATAACTATTAGCATTCTTAGTTATTCGCGAATTACTAATTAAATTATTAAAAATACTAAAGTTTATTTTTTTTTTTTTTACAAAATTTTATATATAAAAAATTAAGATATTATGAAACCATTACTTAAAAATTATTTAAGATGCTGTGAATGCTTGAAGGCCAGTAATAGCCCTGCCCAATATAAGGGAATGAATATCATATGTACCTAAAACAAATATATACTAATTAATGTTTGAATATGTTAGCAAAATATATATAACTCAGTAAATACCTTCATAAGTATTGGTTGTACATAAATTTTGTTCATGTCTAATTATATGATATTCATCGCTTATTCCATTACCTCCTAGAACATCTCGCATGGAACGTGCAATTTCCAAGGCTTTTCCACAAGAATTGCGCTTCACAAGTGAAATCATTTCAGGTGAGTATTTACCCAAATCTTTTAATCGTCCTACTTGAAGACATGCCAGAAGACCGATAGCAATCTAAAACCAAATAATCAATTTTAAATACGGCTAAAAAACAAGCATAAATTGTATGTACTATTACTGACCTCTGTATTTGCATCGGCAAATTTCTTCTGAATTAATTGAAACCTTGCCAATGGGACATCAAATTGCTTTCGGTTAAGGGCATACTCGCGAGCTTGAGCTAAACAAAATTCCGAAGCTCCGAGCACACCCCATGCAATTCCAAAACGTGCATTGTTGAGACAACTAAAAGGCCCCTAGTTAATAAGAGTGAGCCAACTCGCTCGAAATAATAATAAATAATAAATAATAAATAATAAAGGAGTTATATTACCTTTAAACCTTCCACATTTGGGAGTAAATTTTCTTCGGGAACTTCTACGTTATCCATCATGATCATTCCAGTTGCAGAAGCTCTAAGCGACAATTTACCTTTAATTGGTGGAGTCGATAGCCCTTTCATACCCTTAGTTTATATCATAAAATTTGTCATCAACTTAAGCTTTTTTTTTTTTTTTTACGCAAGATCCGTTATTTGCGTATGTACCTTTTCCAAAATAAACCCTCGTATTTTTTGATCTTCTTTGGACTTTGCCCAAACAATAAATATATCCGCTATTGGAGAATTGGTAATCCAAGTTTTCGATCCATGTAATATATAGACACCATTTTTCTTAATTGAATAAGATTTCATACCACCAATATCAGAACCATGGTCGGGCTCTGTTAACCCAAAAGCACCAACAATTTCACCCTTCGCTGTTAAAGATAAATAATGATTCTGTAACCAAAAAGCATTGAGTGTTAACTGCAACTTGTATACTGTATATGTGAAATATACCTAATCTAGGTAAATAATTTTGCTTTTGTTTTTCACTACCGAAAGCGTATATAGGGTGCATGACAAGCGATGATTGCACACTCATTGTAGATCGGTAACCGCTATCTACTCTAGAGAAGTATATTGCGAAAAAAGAAAATTATAATTAAATGTGTCATCTCTAAAAAAAGAAGTAAACCAAAATTTAAAACCTTTCCACTTCACGAGCAATAAGTCCATACGCTACTGAAGAAACGCCTGAACAACCGTATCCCTGAATTGTAGAACCAAGTAAACCTAATTCGCCCATTTCTGTAACAATTTCACGGTCAAACCCTAAAGGTATAAAAAATAGTAAAAGATAGTAAATAGCTATTTACATTAACTTTTCAAAAAATTAACATACGTTCTTGACGATAAGCTTCCAAAATTCTTGGAAATAATTTTTCTTGACAATATTGACGCGCAGAATTTCTAAATCATTCCAATAAATTTAATCAAAATGCTCTGGAGGAATTCTACAAAAAAAGAGAGTTATATATATACCTAATAGCAATTTCTTCATCAGTCAGTTGCGATTCAAGAGAAAGTGGGTCTTCCCAATTATACTTGGCTGAACCGAAAGAACGCGCTTTGTAAATATTTAACCCGTTTTTTAAGCGATTAAAAAGGTTTACCTAAAGTCTGAGTTGAAATGCTTTTGAAAAGCGACGCTTTTCGCAGAGGACCCTTGAAATTTTTCAAAATAGAGTGCGCAAGTCGAAACATTGTTGAAATCAATTAAACACAAAAAAGAATGTCCGATTTAAATATGTATATGCATCAAAGAGATCAGTATTAAAGAGATCGACTTTCAGTTATATACAATTCTAAGAAATGGCGCTATATAAATATTATGCAAGTCTGTTCATTTATTGTATTTATTGTTACGTATTATTCTTTTTTTTTTTTTTTTATTGCTTATTAGGAATAAATGTTCGTATATATATTAAATACATGTCAGATGTATACGTATAATGAATGCTTGAAATTTAAAAAGCTAAAATATTTATAAAGTTTTTTTTTTTGGTGTACTTTCATGATTCGTCCATAATACCCGCTTATTCTCCGTAACTATAAACTCTTCCTTCAATTCTTGAGTATCTAGCCATATTTCTACCACAACTAGGGCATGAATGGATGCAATCTTTCAAATCAGTGATCTGTAAAATAAAGAAAATTAAATATTAAGAACCGACCTGACCTACAATTGTCTATAATTTAAAGACCTAGTACTTACGCAAAGGGGGATCAAGCAACATCCCCACATCGTTACTCCGATTATAAATAATCCAAGAGAAGATAACAAATTTGCAGATCCAATCTTGAAACTTGTCTTGCTTAAAACAATTTGGTTACAATATGGACAACAAGTAACGGCTGGCTGAGCACGTAAATCAAAAATAGAGACTGCTGGACTTAAAACAACAGTGTCAGGTTGATAATATGCTGTTACTGAAGATTGTTGAGGTGGGTTTGGTGGGTTATACGTTGGAGTTGGAATAGTTGAATAAGAATTTTTCGGAACATCTGGGTAAAGACGCGTAGATTCATTTGGCACAACTTCTCGGGATTGTGAAGGAAGAGGTGTATAAGGTGGTGGTGAATCAACGGGATCTGAGGTGCTTGAAGCAATATTATCTTTCTTATTTGTCATGATTCAAATGAAGTTAAAGTTCAAGAATGATCGGACTCCAATTTATAATGATCATATATACTAGACTAGTAGTTTACCCTATTGAGGCCTAAACTATCGAAAATCTCTAAGAATGATATTTGACCAATCAGATATGAAGTACTACTTACCGGAATTCTGAATCCCGTAGAACTCCGAATCCTGATTGTAATTATGTAATGATAAATAAATTCGAATAAGAATGTGATCAATTCTATTTTTATTCTATTTTTATTGACTAAGCCAACTTTCTAAAAACTCGACCGACTTAGCCGACTAAGTCCAGAAGTCGGCTAACCCCGAATCGACTTATAATACTAATAATATGACATTTTTATTATATAATGATGAATACAAGATCCCGACTATAAAAATCCCGAAGGTCAAATCCTGACTAAGATGGATCCCGGCAGTTTAAGGTCCTGGGATATCTAAAATTGCTCGTTTCTCGAAACCTCTTCGATCTTGTTCTAAGAATCACCTAACTTTTTGGGATGTCTCTGTATTGAATTTCTAAGAACAGCGAAGTAGTCCGAAAAGTTAGGTGATTCTTAGAACTAAATCGATGAGTTTTCGGAAAATGAACAAATTTTTAGGGGTCCAGCTGTAAATGATCAAGTTGACCATTTCAGGACCTTAAACTGTCGGGATTTTTGATAATCGGGATCGGGATTCTAAACTGTACGGATCCTGTGGATCGAGATTATGGACGTTGGAATTATGTACTGTCGGGTAATTCCTTGAGAACGAAAATACGTATTTCGACCAAATTTTTTCACACCCCGTACTTGATATTTCTCATATCATAATACACGTATAACGGACTCTTGATATAACGGAGACTAAGTAAAATCTTGATATAATGCAGTAATGGATCAAAGATTCAGATCCACATCATAATAAATACTATATATTATACTTGATATATATATGATTTTAAAAAAATTCCTCACTATGTGTCCGAGGTATTATGTTATATCGAAAGTGACATGTATTTCAAAATTTTACTAATAAAACCACTTTCGGGGCTCTACCAAAAAATGAGGCTGCAAATTGTTTCTTAAGGTGAATAATTCACCTAGGTGTCAAATAAATGTAAAAAGTTTTTTTTGAGATAAAATATTTTTGATAAATTTAACATTTATTGTATAATCTACTATATGATTAGTTATAACGACCAAAGTGCAATAAATGCCAATAAAATTCATAACAAAAAAAGCAAATAATATAACAGATAACAAAATATATAGATAGTATATAATTATATATAGTAATATTATTATTAAAAATAGTATTAACAAAGCCATATTGACAATAGTAATAATAAGTTATATTCTAGCCTCTTCCCAAAGAGTTTTACCAGAACAAGAACAGACTTTTTTCTTGTTTTCAAAGAGACCGGCGCTACGCGCAATAATTCCTGCAATTAAACCTGGACCAGAATTCCCATCAACTTTACTTTGCGCGTTATTACCCTTACCTTCATCATCTTCTCCATGTGTGATTACCATTGATCTTCCAATAACATCCCAAACTTTAATTCGACGACTTTCCACGACAAGATCTCCCCATCCTTTCTCATCAACAAGTATATTTCCCAAATCTCCTACATGACCACTTTCGATATCTCTGTGTGCAACATTGTCTGGATTGTAATGTGCCCCTGTGCTTGACGGGCCAGCCGAAATGTCGCCCAATTCGTGGATGTGAATTCCATGACGTCCTGGAGGAATTCCTTGCACTGTGACATCAATAAGACAATAATCTTTATCAATTTGTACTAAGCGACAAAGCCCTTGAGGTTTTCTTAATGGGATAGTTGCTTTTTCACTATTGAGCGGTGTATACGTATGGTCTTCGAATATGCAAACAGCTGCACCAGAATGTGCTCCTATAAACACAAAAGTTTGAGATTAGCCGAATTTATGATTTAAATAATATAAGAGGGGATATTACCATTAACATTGCCTTGACCACGAACAATCACAGTTTTTCCGGTTTCTTTCAATTGCTTTGACACAATCGAAGGTGGTGCTAATACCAAATCAATGTTAAGCGTGATGTTAATATTTAATTAATATTACCAAAATGCAGACAACTAACCTGTCCCTTCAACTATTACGCTCTGTTCTTTAAGATCTATGTCAAATCGACTAATCCCTATATTATTTCGGTAAATTTTTAAAATATTCTTGCTTATGTTTTAACTAAAAACTAATTTATTTACCTGGAATTTTTGTTAAAATGTTTTTAATAGACTCAACACATGAATCACATGTTATGTTTACAGCATACTCTGTCTGCAAGAGAAAATGAGATTACTATATTTTTGGAATAGAAAAAAGGTTCGTTGTGGATTCCATGCCTTCGGCATACCTTAAAAGGAGTTTGATTCACTTTTGTATTCATGCTTGATTCGAAATGGGTCAGAACGATTTGAGTAATTTCTTAGTAATACAGGGACGGTTATGTTGATAGACAATCATTTAATATTAACACAAAATATGACATACTAATACGTAAGAATTTTATCGCGGAATTGTTAAATGTGCATCACGTGAATTTACAAATTGATTAATAACGATCGCGATAATCAATTTAATCAAATCTAATTCTGGTCAAATTTGTATGATCCCACCAATTGTAAAATTCACCACCCAAATTTTTCCAAAGTGAAGATACTAATTTAATTATTACTGCGTTGTTATTTGCTTCATTTGGATGTGGATTAATAATGAAAAATTTAATCTATTAATCGGAATACCAACAGATAATTATTAACCCAACTGTGAACTTCGAAACAAAATTGGTATTTTTTTCTGGCGGTAAAAAAAAAACGTCTCAAAGTTTAAATAAATAAATAATTTTGGAAATACTTAGACGAAATACTATAATATAAGCTCAGTCCTAATAAATGATCAGATATGCTTAAAACTCATTTTGAGGGCGAACCTACTTTCATTTCTATTCGATTGTCAAATTATTTACATAATAAATCATGTCATAAATTTGCACTTCTACTTTCTGTGCTGGATTATGTCGATCATTGGCCTAGATTGATCGACATCGGCCTGCATTAAGCTAATTTTGAAGTTGGTTATCACGCAACAACTATTTAAACAAACATTGCATGATCATCATATTAACTCGCGCAAATAAATAAACTATGTCCACTACGTATGTGTTTCGTATTGTATTACTGCATCCTTCATCCGAACAT